AAAATAAATAACTGCAATAGAAATAGAACAGGACTAAATGCTGCTTCTTGGGATCCACTTGACAAGGTTTTTTTTTATTTTATTTTTTTTAAGGCTAGTTGAGTGAAGCAGAGTAGGGAAGGAACAAAGAAATCTGTAACTGCTTGTGATCAATTAGTTGTAAACACCACTGCACTCAGACCAGCCAACAAGTTTTAAAAAATAGTTACAAAATAAAAAATACAGACCCATTATAAGTCACTTTTGCAGTGGCACCAAGCAGGTGTCTTCAATTTACTAGTATGACAATCAACATTAGGAAAAATCAAAGTGTGTTCATTTCTAAATAAGTGAAATCCTAATCTGCTAAATTTTTAGCAAGAGACACTAGTCTTTTGGCTGTAGTCAACTGTTTTTTTGAAATGCCATTTATTCAAATGGACTGTTACTGAGTATCAAGACATACTTCTCTCACCCTCACTAAGACCAAAGGCTGAACCATGCTGCCCAAACAATGACCTCACTACTTAATGCATCATTACTAACACTGACTACACTACAATAAAACATATCACACTAGAGGAAAAACAGTCTTATCCAAGCTTGACAGAAGAACTCTCAGATGAGTGATTAAGCTACTTTCTCAACACTTTACATGTTTGTAAATCTTTAGGTATTGAGAAAGCGAGGGAGAAACAGCAATAAGAGAGAAAAATACAAAAGCATGAATTAATGGTAATTTCAGCAAGTTTTTTTAAAAAGCAGTAATCCCCCTACCAACCCAATTTTTGGCATTCCAATTAACTAGTACTGCATTACACTAATTACATACTTTACAGAAAATAGTGAAAATGAAATGAACAAACTGGGAACTTGATACACGTCTTAGAGATCATTCCAAACCAATGCTCACTTTTGACAGCCCACTGTGAGCCAAGTGCTATTTTTATACCATCATTTTAAGGTATGTTCACACCTGAACATGAAGCAGAAATGCTGCTACATATTCAAAAAGAGAATATAGTCCTCAAAATATCTGCCATAAAAATTCACACCAAATTGTATATTTTCTAAGATTTCCTGAAGAAACTGATTGTCTCCCACACTGTGATCCGTTGAACTCAGACCTAACCTACAAATAGGGCAACTGTCACAAAATGAAGGAATTAGTACTTTAAAAAAGGGAAAAAAAAAAAAAAAAAAAAAAAAAGAGGCACTATGATATCATGCTTCCCTGTGGCAGTTTTGATTAAAACTTGGATCCAAACACTATCTCTGGACCTTCAAGGTTGGCATGTACAGTCCCCCATTAAGAAACTATCAGTAATATTTTAAATTAGAACAGCTCTGAAGAAAAAGATAATTTTGTTTAGTCATGTTGTCAGGTTCTAACTGAGGTCTGAGGGGAGTCGGTGGGCAAGTGGCACGTAGCTAGAAAAACACTCGTGGAATCAAAGACAGTTTCCACATGGCTTTACTCTTTCTCTGGGTGTGAGCAAGCTGTATGTACAGCGTAAGCAGGGTAATTATACATTTTACAGACAACAGTGGTTCTGAGCCAAGCATGAGCTCATGTGGCATGGTTACATAATGTGTGAGGTTGTGTGCCTGCACTCCAAACCCACTGAGTCATGCTGTGCAGAAAGGCCACCTCAGCCTACTCCTGACTAAACCACAGCCATTTCCCCTACACATGTATTAAGTTATCACTAATCTGTCTGTCTTACATTCATCCTATTATTCCATTACCTTTGTCAACATCCTGGCTCACCTCTGTAAGAAGATAAATGCTTTCCTTATCCCATTTCAATTCACCACACCTACCACCAGACTAATCTTCCCAAGGCATACTCCTATCACACTGTCCCCACATTCACATCCCATCAAGAGTTCACACTGCCCTCTAAATGAGGAACATAGTTCTAGCCCGGCTTTCAAGGCTGTCCACAATCTGACCTAACATACCTTTCCAACCTTCTTTCTATAATTCTCCAACAGTTAACCTAAGCTCCACAACACCTCAAACCTTCCTGTGTTTGTATCTTTGTTCAGGCCTTTCCTTTCACCTAGTGCACTTCCTCATTTCCTGTTGAAATCCCATCTGCTGCTTCAAGGCTGCTTCAAGGCTGCTTCAAGGCTTATCGGCACCACAAAAGCATCCCTGATTTTCCTAACTCATGTGTCTCCCTTCCAACAGTCTGGTATCACTTTCTTTGTAGCCTTCTTAAGGCACTTCATCCTGCCTGTTTTCTAATAGTCATCTATCCTTCCTCCATGAGCGGGACCTAAACAGAGTGTTTCTTGATAAAAATAAAAGACCAAACTCTGTCAAAAAGGTAAAAAAGACACATCTTATTTCTACAAAAAGAGGAAAATGTTTCACTATTGATAGAGTAGAACATGTTCCCCAGCAGAAACCTCTAAAAAATTCAAACTCAGGCATGGTAGCTCATGCCTATAATCCCAGCACTTTGGGAGGCTGAGGTAGGAGGACTGCTTGAGGCCTGGAGTTCAAGACCAGCCTGGGCAACATAGCAAGATCCTCTCTACAAAAACATAAAAAAAATAGTTGGGCATGGTGGTGCACACTTGTCATCCTAGCTACTTAGGAGCATGAGGCAGGAGGATTACTTGAGCCCAGGAGGTCAAGGATGCAGTGAGCCAAGATTGAGCCACTGCACTCCAGCCTAAGAACAAAGTGAGATCCTGTCTCTTTAAAAAAAAAAAAAAACTTCACGATTAAATCAACCACCTTACCAGACAAAATGCAATACATTCAAATCATTACAGAGAATATAGAACTGGGAGCAGTATAGAGGTTGAGTATCCCAAATTCATAAATCTGCAATACTCCAAAATCTGATGAAACTTTCTGAGCTCCAACATATTTAATAGAAACACTCAATGGAGCATTTTAGATTTCCGATCTTTGGAGTTGGGATGCTCAACCAGTAAGTATATAATGCAAACATTCCAAAATTTGAAAAATTCCAAAATTCAAAATACTTCTGATCCCAAGCATTTTGGATAAGGGATACTCAACCTATATTACTTTTCAAACACAGCAATTCAGTCCCTTATCACCATCAATACATCATATGAATAATAAAGTGTAATTGTATTCTAATAATGCCTCAATTATCTAACATTGTTAGGATATGAGGGATTCACACACTCAAGTTTCCTGAAGAACTGGTTTCCTAGTGCAGAAACAGAGCTCAGGCATGCCTGCAGACTGGGCCAGCTGAAAGATGCTCTTGGGAAACTAATCTTGACTTCACCCAGTCTAACAGAAAACACTCAGGCACAATAGGGAAGTCAATTTGTACCAGTTACTTGCAGCTGGTCAACAGGTAGGGAGCATGAAGGGAAGTTAAACAGGGTGGCAAAAACCCTATAAAATGTCAAAAGGATCTTTTGCCCCTGCCAGAATCCTCATTCCAGATTGCTGGTACCACGTACATTTGTATGTCTCCAAGGAACTTTGGGGAGCTGAACACCTGTTATATCTCAAAACAAACTACGTCATCACCTGCTGGAAGTTTCCATATCCTTTGCTATTGAAAATTTCACACTCTAAATTGTCTGTTATGGGTTGAATTGCAACCCCCCAAATTTATATATTGAAATTTTAACCACCAGTAGCTCAGAATATGACCTTATTTGCATATAGGGTTGTTGCAGACATAAAATTAGATGAGGTCATACTGGAGTAGGGAAGGCCCCTAATCGAGTATGACTAGTGTCCATATGAAAACAGAAAAATCTGGCCACAGACAAGTACACAGGGAACATGCCACATGAAGATGAAGTCAGATATTAGGGTGATGTTCCATAAGCCAAGGAACTCCAAATATTGCCAGCAAACCACCAGAAAGGTGAGAGGCATGGAACAAACTGTTACTCTGTCCTCAGAAGGTACCAACCCTGCTAACCCCTTGATCATAGACTTCTAGCTATGGGAACTATGAGAGAAATTTCTGTTGTTTAAGCCACCTAGTTTGTGGTCCTTTGTTATGGCATCCATAGGAAACTAATACAGCATTTATTGGTGTTGATATCTGTTGATATCACCAGTCCACTGTGGAAACCACCACATACCTATTTCAGTAATCATACTTCTTAAAAATAAGTATTATACTCATTGAACAAACACAAGTCAATGGCCTCTATATGCCAGGCCCTAAGGACAGAGCAATATGACTGACAATGTCCCTGTCCTCATATAGATTACAGTGTAGTCAGGATAACTGACAACAAACCAAAATTACACAATGATAAAATTACAACTGCATTAAGAACAAAAATGATATATTTTCCTTCCTCTTTAAACAGATGGTAAACACAATTAACCATGTATGGAGCCTGATGTAAATGCATGCCTTTCATTATTTTTGTTCCCCTCCCAGATGTCAGGTTGTTGGCTACCACAAAGCCAGCTGTTACCAGCTACCCTCTTGTCTCTCTGCTCACCTCCTCCAATACATCTATATCTAATTTGGAGTTTCTAATTGACTCTGAGCTATACAAAATCAAGTAACTAATATTGCTAAGAAACATATACCATGTAACAAAAATTGCTGCAAGTGAAAACTGAAGATTTGGCTTTAATGCAGGACTTTCAGGTTTACTTCAGATTCTCAGTATTTTTTTTTTTTTCCAGCAGAATTCTGTTATAAGGCTCGGAGACAGAGGGCTATTGCTATATAAACCGGATGTTACCAAATAATGTTGTACTACATTGCCTGGCAAATGCTTGTTTCCTTTCAAAGAAAATGCAGTACAGGGAAGCATGAAAAGTTTTTCATTTCAGAAGTTCACTGTTTTTTCCATCAGAATATAATGCTTGCTTAAGGAAGAAATACTATCCAAAGTCAGAATTAAATAATTTATTGTCCAGCACAAGGCATAGTTTTGTTAATTGCGAATTGTTTAAAATAATATTACTGTGAAGTTACATAGCATCATAATTGGAAAGTCTAGGCAGCATTTTTTTGAAGGGCTTAATAAATACCACCTACCTCTTATGCATATCCAACAATCGTCTTTTTTGTTGTGTTTTTTAAGTTCTTCTTCAGTTACTTCAATTAACCTGCCTTTTAATCCTGTTAGATCCTTTCCACTTTTGGTCAATCGAATCCAATCCATAAGGCTTCTGCCTTGTTTTAAAGGTACCTGAAAAAGGAAAAGGGAAGAATTAAATCTAGCTGCTTCATTACTTTTAATTCCATTTTAAAAGATAATAAAACTCAAATCTAACAATTCTACAAATCTTTTTACAGCTTTAAAAGGCTGTCAATATTGTTTTTGCTGTATTTGAATTATAAAATGTAGGGCTTAGAAATTCTATCACACAAATTTTCACCATATTGATGTCAGGGTACAGCAGTCCATCAGTATCCATTAGGGACTGGTCCCAGGACTTTCCCCTACCCTATACCAAAATCCAGGATGCTCAAGTGTCTCATATAAAATGGCAAAGTACTGACATATACCTATGAACATCCTCCCATATACGTCAAGTAATTTCTAGATTACTAATAATACCTCAAGCAATGTAAATGCTACGTAACGGGCTGTTGTATTGTAGTTTTATAATTCTTATTTTTTAAATTGTTGTATTGTTATTAATTTTTTTCCCAAATATTTTTGATCCAAAGTTGGTTGAATCCTTGGACGTGGAACCCAGGGCTACAGAGGGCTGACCATATAACAGGAATGGCATTGAACCAGAAATGAGAAAACAGGTTCTGGTCCTGGCTCTGACATTAATCTGTTATAGTCACCAGTTTGGACCAAAATTTCTTTACCTTAAAAATCAAAAGAGATTTAACAGAAGAAAAGATAAAGAAACAATTAGCTACAGTTGATTTTCTGGATTGTCATTATAAACAGACTATTAGAAATCATTAGTCAGAAATATTATCTAAGAATCCTCTGAGTAACAAAGTTTATCAAATAATGTAAAATAATAAAACTATAAAACTGTAGGGAAGGGGTTGGCAAACTACTGCCTGCACCTGTTGCTATACAGCTCTTGAGTAAAGAATCATCTTCAAATGTGGTGAAGAGCCTGAAACCTTATGAGGCTCTCTCAAAGCTGAAAATACCACCTGGCCTTTTGCAGAAAAAAAATGTGCCAACCCTTGCCTAGGGAACTTAATAACAGGATGGTTTGGGTTTTTATTTTTTTTTATATATAAAATACATTTTCAAAGTTTTCAGATAAGTATTATTAGTACGTTAGCCAATTAAAACAACGTAGTGGAAAATTTTCATGGTATCTCTACGGAACTGTCTAAGCTTGTCCAACTTATTTGCAATGTAGTACCAGAAGAATGTTTAATGTAAAAGCAGACACACTCATGGACGTTTATATATTTCACTTTCCTGAATCATACCTATTTTAGACATCCATTTACCCCCAAAGTAACCAAGTTAATAAGTCTGTGGTGCTTTTCACATTCCATCCTATCAAACTATATCATCCCATTCTAGCTATCACTGAAACTCTCTAGGTCTTTTGATTCCAATAAATGAAGTAAGAGAAAGTGATCTTTCCCATCCCAAATTAAAGTCACTCACCTCTCTCCATTCCATAATCCACAGGATAGTTAAAGCAATCTTTCAAAAATGCAAACCTAATCATAGGCTCGCCCTCCTTCGGTGGCTCCTCAGGTTACCTTATAATAACATCTCTAAATTCCCTAGGGATTTAACAAGTCCTCACAATCTGGTCATCGTTGACCATACTCGCTCCATGTTCTAACTTTTGCTCCTCTCCATTATATGCCTTAGCCAAATGGGAACTGATTATTTGATTCCTTGATTGCTGTCAAGTACTTGCTTAAGGTAGTGCGGCATTCTCTGCACAGATCAACTTCATCCCAACTCCCATTAATTCTTCTGGAAGGCTTCTCCGACCCCCATCTCATTCGTGGTCATAACACTCTCTTGTAGTACTTATGACATTGTAACTGAATGTTCACTATTCCATGTAATCTACGAGACTAAACATCTTGAAATCAGAGATCACAAAACTCAGCATTTGTTTACTAGCATTAATAGAAATAATAACTTTCATATGTTGAGTGCATATTCTGTGTCAGACTCAAATCTGTGAGATCTGAATAAAAGCCTCAAGGCAAGCAGCACTTACTGAGTGCTTACCAAGGCTGTGCTAAGAGAAACGTTATCTCACTGAATCCTATGAACAATCCAACAAAATGGGTGTTATTCTCATTTACACCTGAGGAAGCAGACCAAAAGAGATTAACTGTTAAATATGGTGAAAGAATACAGGTTTTCCTCACTTCAAAATCTGTGCCTTTAAACAATTACAATTTGGCTGGGCGCAGTGTCTCATGCCTATAATACCAGCACTTTGGGAGGCCAAGGCAGGTGGATCACCTGAGGTTAGGTGGATCACCTGAGGTCAGGAGTTTGAGACCAGCCTGGCCAACATGGTGAAACCCCGTCTCTACTAAAAGTACAAAAATTGGCCGGGCGTGCCTGTAACTCGAGTTACTTGGGAGGCTGAAACAGGAGAATTGCTTGAACCCGGGAGGCGGAGGTTGCAGTGAGCTGAGACCATGCCATTGTATTCCAGCCTGGCCGACAAGAGTGAAACTCCATCTCAGAAAAACAAAACAAAGTAATTACAATACGCCCTTAATTAAACTGGTCAATAGGTGCTTGGAAACTCTGACTTAAAGCAAAACTATGTACAGCATATTTCTGGTCACAAAAACGTCACCAGACTTCTAAATAAAGACCAAAATACCTCTAATACTAAACATTGAAATAAATGTTAGCTATATATATACATTTAAGAAAAATTAAAAAACAAGTACGATAATTATTACCCAACTATTCCAGTTCAACATCACAGGTAGTCAGAGCCTATCCCAGTAGCTCAGGGCGCAAAGTGGGAACTGACCCTGGACAGGACGCCATCCTATTGCAGGGCACACTCATACACACCCAACACTCATGCAAACTGGGACCATTTAGGCACACCAATTAACCTAACTTGCACATCTCTGGGCTGTAAGGGGAAACCAGAATACCCAGAGACAACTCACACAGACACAGGTAGAGCGTGCAAACTCCAAAGACAGTGGCCCCAGCTGAAAACAGATATTTTTTCCTTATCAGTATTATAACTAAATGATCTTGAATGAAATCACATTATTTGAGGGCCTGCTGCATAATACACAACCTTCCCAATGAGGCTCTATTTTCTCAACCAATATTCAATTATCTCATTGAATCCTATGAACAATCCTATAAAATGGGTGTTATTCTTATTTACACCTGGGGAAACAGACTCAAAGAGATTAAGTGTGAAATATGGTGAAAGAATAAGGTCTTCCTCACTTCAAAATCTGTGCCTTTAAACAATTACAATTTGGCAGGGCGCGGTGGCTCATGCCTGTAATCCCACCACTTTGGGAAGCCAAGAAAAGAAAAGAGGGAAAAGAATGAAGTCTGACTTTTCCTTTGAATTGTACAAAAATCTTATTTTGTTCTCTTTTTGGACCAAAGACTCACCTTTGCCATCGCCACCTGTGTGACATTTTGTCTTTGCTTCTAAGTTTTCTCCTTTAAACGGATGCTAAGAACATAGTTGGTATTTTTAACAGAGAAGGGAAGCAACCCATATTCTCATTCACAGGTTCTCTCTGGAAAGACTGTGTTATTCAGCCAAGTATTTAGTTTCAAGAAATAGGTCAAAAACCAGTGAGGAAAATACATATGACTGGATAGTGAGATGACTGATATATCAATCAGTAAACGAAATTTCACAGCAGAACCACATCACAAGCCTACGCAATTTAAGGCAACATTTCTTAAACCTGTTTCCTTTTCTGTGAAAGAGACAAAAGCTTTCACTTCACAGAATCATCGTCAAGATTAAAGTTAATACACGTAAAGCACTGAGAATATACATGGCCACCTGTAAGTACTTAACAAATCTCTGAAAAGCTAATGAAAACTACAGATCCCTGAACCCACATTCATTCTGAACTAGTATTAGAACGCCAGGTCTAAGTGGAGAAAAATAAGAAAATCGATGAGGGCTCCAAATGATCTTAAGACCCAAGAGTTAATGAGTGGTCTAAGTAGGTGGAAGTGTCACAAACAAAGATATGGTTACAGAATGAGGAAGTAACAAATAGGAACAAACAACATTTGCAAAAGAACGCAGAACACATTTTTTTATTGAATTTTGCAAATATAAAATATATTTGTACAGTATTCCACCTGTTGCTAACAGTGTGCTCAAGAAAAACCTCAAGAGTATCATATTTGCTTCCAAGTTAGCATGTGATACTAGGCAGGAAAGGAAATGACAAAACAATTAGGGTAAGAAAGAAAGAAAAAGACAGTATGACCTGGAGAGTGTCTGTCCTAGCTCCCCTAGCTCCAGAAGTCCCCATCCTTGCAGGGACGGTCACTGTCGCCACTGCCAAGCCTTTCCTTCCTGCGAGGGAACCCACACTGAGTGATGTGGTACAACTCCTTCGGGCAGTGAAGAACAAAAGGCCAGGGAGATGAGGTTGTAGGAAGGAGGCTAATACCGAGTGCCTATAATAACGCAAGCACAGTGCCTCACTCTGCCACATAGATTTAAATTTAATTCGCGGGAAAGGATTTGAAGGGAACGGACAGAGCGGGATAAAGCACCAGAAAGAAGAGGGGCAATTAGGGGAAAAGGAGGGAGGTTAGGAGAGTTTAGGGACTATAAACACAGTGGGATCAGAAAGAGGTTGCAGGCAAGGACAGCAGGGAACTACAGCTTAGAGAGGGGGACGAGAGGCGGGAGTGGGGGCGGAAAAAGAGAACACACTGCCGGAGCCGAAACGCAGCTAGGGGCGAGACTCAAGGAGTCACCCGCTTACCTTGCTACGCCCCCCGGCGGCGACACGCTGCTGAGACCTGGGGGCCGGGAAAGACTGGGAAGGGACGTTCAGCATCTTGAAACCCGTGCCCCGGGCTTTGCCCGGGGTTTACCGCGGGACGGGCTAGCACCTCCGGCCCCAGCTCTGCGGCCGGGCAGAGGCCAAGCCCCCGACCCACTTCCGGGGTCGCCAGGGGTGAGACGCACTCTGACGCAGCACGTCCACGGAAGGCGGAGCCACCGAGACGGAGGGAGCCCCAGCTGGGAGGAAGTACGCATGCTCAGTTGGTTCCGAGTTCCTAACTTCAGCACCGGAGCAAGGTGACAGCTATTTCGTGGACCGATTAGAAAGTGAAGCTGTTCGTTAGCCTTGGTGCTGACCGAATCTAGGAACAAATTCTTGGTCCTGTTAACCCGGAACAGCAGTGTCTGTTCATTGTTAAGTAGTACCATCACACTACTTGAAATATGGAATAAAACAACAATACTACTAACGCATTTTAATTGCTCTGAAATTCTTTCCTGTAAGGCACTAGGCTGTACAGGAAAGAGCACCCACACCTTGAAGAGCAAAGGTGTCAAATGTCAAAAGCCACTACTGTGGGGTAAGAAAAAAACTTCACCTTTAAGCATCCTTAAACCTCACCTTTAAGCATGCTGGGGAGCAATGAATAAGTGAAAGACGTTAGTAAAGTCTCCTTCTGCTCTATTCACCCACTCACAAATTCTCCCTCCTTATGTAACTTCCTGTCTTTCCTGGGAATTACGTGCTGATGCAGCTCACCTCCAGCTGTGGTGATGAAGTAACGTTTAAAACTCAGATTTGGTTTGGATGCCATCCCCATGCACTTCATGACTAAGCTTTCTTACGCAAGTTACTTTAGTATCTCAAAGTTTCATTTTCCCTATCTGCATAATGGGTTTATTAAAGATTAAAGGGTCATATGTAAACTACATACTGCAGTACGTGGTTAATATTAGGTACTCAGTAAGTGGTAGTGGCTCTTTGTACTATTCCAACATAATAATGGGAAAAGTACAAACACCATGCAGGTAAACACCAGGCTCTAATGCTTAAAATCTGATGTTTTTTGTTTGATTCTTTGTTTTGTGTGTCCCTTGGGGAACACATAGATCTTGAGAGTAGAATCCAATAAAGGGAGAAAGTTTTCAGGAGAAGAAACACAATTCTAAATAATCCTCCCCATCCTCCTTTAATAACTAACTTGTCCTAACTCTGAACAAATTTTCATGCTTTAAACTTTCTCTCCTTAGCTACTTAGCTCTTAAAGTGCCTAAAAATCAAGGCTATGTTTGTAGAATCTTTTAAATCAGAAGAAAAGTGTGTGACTATACGTGGCCATTCAAATAAACGGCATTTCTTAGCTAGGGAACCACCTATGACCTTCACCTCTATTCATTTTTATTTGAAATTGAAATGCTTATTATGAGAAGACTGAATTTGAGCTAAAAGAATCTCACAACTATAATTAACTATATGGCCTTGACCTTACAAACTGCTCTTGTGTTTTTTCTCTCTCTCTCATTAAATGATGACATATTCTTCTAGAGTCTACATAAGAAAAACTAATCACTGAGATTTATTTCATTTCTCATGAGAAAACTTTACATAAGAATATCAAAAGCAGAGAACTAGAGCAGGGAAAAACTAATATTGTTAAAGAATGTTCTATATTTGCCAAATTTCTTAGCTCCCCTTTGTACAGAAATGGAAGACATTATCATATTCTGGCCTTTAGACTCTACTTTTTTAGACTCTGTATCAATCACTCAAATTTAAATATTTTATTTTAATTCTAGGGATCCCTCAATGTAGCATATTAAGTATTAAACATCCATGCTATTTTACTACTGGATTTAAGGACTAAAGATGAGTATTAATATAAGAGTTACTTTGCTCATCATTTATTTAAAATATCTATAAGAGCCCTAAGATTGATTCCCCTTTTCAATTACAGATAATGATTTAATGTATTTTTCTCCATCTGCTAAGAAATCTTTACCAATAAATGAGTGATTTCTAACATAAGACTACTTTCTTCATTATCTAATAAGATAATATTAATCTGTAACTACAACATCCATGTGGTATCAGTAGGAAATAGCAGATGTTGAAAGATTCAATCTTGAGAATTAAATACTGTCATTCTTTACAAAATTATAACTAAATATAAATTTGTAATTTAACAAAGAAAAAAATTATTCTTTGTAAAGTGCAAATACTTATAATACAATCAAGACATTTGTAAATGGCACCTATTTTAGATTCCAACATTCAATTCTAGTGTAAATATTTTTTTTAAAAAAAGGCCAAATACCAGAATAATTACAAAATATTTCATTTTATTAATAATTTATATACAAATAAATTAGTTAAAATAATTATGTTACATTTGTACACTAAATTTAAAACCTACAAGATTTGGATGTAATCAAAAGTAGCTAATCAGATTAATTTTCACAGGTCAGATCTGCAATTTCATCTTCACTATCAGAATCTTCATAAAATGAAATTGTGGCTTGAATTGGAAAATTTTTCAGAAGAGCTTCTGCTTCTTGATATAAGTAATCATAACACTTGGATTTTGGCCAAAATAGTCTGAAAAAAGCAGACAACATGTTTTATTTTTTCACATTCAGAATCTTTATACTCATGAAATGGTCAAATTTCAAAAGCTCCATATATTTAACAATTGACTTATACATTTGGATATAGCCTTAAGATATAGAGTTAAAATATGCTAGTATCACAGCTTTCATGGAATATACTTGCCAAAGTATTAATAACTGTTTGATTATTTTAAATCTTTATTCAAGCTCTAAATTGGATCAAATTCACACTAAACCCTGGATAAGCATAAGATCAGTGTTTAGCTTACTTTGTGCATTATGGATATATTTATTCTTATAATGTATAGAAGATTTTTCTTCCAGTTTCTAAATTCCTTTGGAAAACATAAATTGAATCCCTCTACTACATTAAAAACTTTTACGATAGCCAGCTTTATAAAGATGACAAAATACTATGCACTTTACAAAAGGTGGAAATCACCTACTATCTTACTTAAAACTTACAGATTTAACTCTTATAGAAGTAGACAATGTAAGTTTAGAAAAGTATAAAAAGCAATATTTTTAAAAAATTTTACCTATCCACTCACAGCTTGAGGCATAGAAAGACTACTTCTGACCCCAGTTTTGATTCTATCTGCCTCTCTTCTCCCTACTCAACTAAATTTGTGAATATCATATGAAATATTAAGAAATTGGATATATTTTATACAAATAACTGGCATGTAAGTATAATTACCTTAGAATTAAAAAAATCTGACAAATCCTAATCTTGCCTTCTGGTCTTCATCAAGGAAAAGAAAGAGGAGAGATAAGGAGGAATCATCAAATACAGTACAGTCATTTTAGTGCAGGGTAAACAGCCCATGCATCCATACAATGGAGTCATTCCAACAAATGAAAGATTATATTACGTTCAGTATGTTCCACTTTAAAAGGCGGAAAAACAATGTAGCTTATAAATGTTTCCAGCAATAATCATAAAAATTAGTTCAAATTTTTGATGCTTAAACTAAGTATCAATTATTCAGTCATTCAATAAATAATTTAGTGATCCCTTGTGCCAACATAATTCATAATTCAAGGATGAACAAATCATGGTCCCTACCCTCAAAAAGTTGACAACTGCATAAAAAGAATAAAACACACCATAGCAGTCAAGATAGAAATGAATAAAAATAAAATAAATATAAAAGCACAATGAAATTGTAATCATACTTCAGAAAAGAATTTCTTATATATGAAACAATTTATTTTCTAATATGTAGCTGGAACTAGCAAATCCAAAGAATGCTGTTTAGTTATTATGATACTCTGTCCAGAATTTCCCACTGTGGGCCATTTTTCTCCCAGGGTCTCTGAGATTCTTACTGTTCTGTTCTTCTCAGTCTCTGTTATGGACCTCTCTTTCTCTGCATACAGGTAAGATGCTGGCCTTCCCTCGGGTTTTTGCTGGGAACATCAGCCCTCCTTCTAAACAAACTAAGATGACCTGGCCCACTGTCATGATTTTCCCACCCTACAGTTACAATGGACTCCCAAGTCTGTATTTCCACTTCAGATCTTGACCCTGGGCCCCTAACTTACATATGCAGCTCTCTACTGGATATCACTATTTGGATGCTTCACAGGCACATTAAATATAAGTGGAAAACTTGCCCCATGGTCTCACCTTCCAAATCTGGTTTCAGCCCTAATTTCCATTCTTTTAGCATAGCATTCACCTGGTCACCAGCCACAAACTGAGGAGCCATTCTGGCTTTTTACCTCTTCTTCATCTACCATATCCAATGCATTATAAAGCCTAATCTATTTTGTCACCTAAGTATTTCCTAGATTCACCCAGACCCATCCTCACTTCTAGTGTCTTACAATGGCTCTTCATCATTTCTTCCCTGAAAAATTGCAGAACTTCTAGTTTTACTTTTGATGTCCTGACTAAGCCTATATAACATATAATCCCCAAGACTACCTTCAGAATAAGGTCCATGGGTTCCCAACACCACATACAGGATCAGGACAAAACTCTGTACAAGAGTGCACAAGATCTGGCCTCTGATTACCTTGCTGAAATGACCATAACTTTACACACCTAAACTCCTTGGAGTTCCCACAAGGAGCCACACTGTTTCATGATCCTCTTTTCCAATGCTATTTCTTCTGCTCCCACCTCCCATTTATCTGACTAACTTCTCCAAGACTCAGCCAGGTAACCACAACCTATAATAAACATTTCCCCCACCCTTCCCCCTACCACTGACAGATTGAGGCACTTCATACCCTGCCCATACTTGTAAAACTAACCAAACTAAACTCCGTTACAACTGCCATGTGCTGTGACTACTTTTTCTTGTGTCCTTCACTAGTGCTAGTACATGGTAGGAAATCAGATGTATTGACTTCTACATGGTATTTATGACCACAGGCATTTTACAAACATCGTTCAGCTCTTCATTTAACAGGTCTTGGAGGCAGGAAAACTGCAGAATTATTAACGTTTCACCCTAATAAAAGTGACAAAGAATCTTAAAGGCTGACTTCCTATGGCTTGGAACAGTAAACTAGCTCCTCATGTTAATTAACTTTTGACCTTTTCTATGACCATCCTCAGTAATCTTTAGGATTTTCATTACATTTCCATTTTCTCTTACAGGGCAAACTTGATTTGCTGTAAGACTGCAACTGTTAATCCCATTCTTACTTCCCAATTGCAAGACAAAAGCAGCATACACACTGTGCCTGATGTGAAGTCAATTTCATTCCGACCCTTTAGGATTTAAAAACAAAAACTGTTTTGCCAGCACAAGACATCACTGCTCTTTTAAAACTATACCATCCACTTTCGCTCTTCATAATATATTCCTCAATCGTTCATTGAGCATGTATTGATTAAAAGTCCCTTTACGTGAGACCGTGAGCCCCTACATTTTTCAATTCGATGAGTAACAGATCTCTGCGAGTGGAAAGATAAGTAACCTTGAAGATAGGTTTTCAGAGAGAGAGACGGGGTAGGGGGAGGGAGGGAGGGAGAGAGAGAGAGCGAGAGAGAGAGAGAGAGAGAGACTGCTGCAGGACAAGCCGCGGAGCTGGGCTCTGAGATGCCGCTGGCTCCTCCCTTGGGCTGGAGGAGCAGAAGACCTTCAGCGAGGCCTGTCACTCACCTGACTGGGTGTCTGAACTGGGAAAGCTTTCCTGAGCCTGCTATCATTCCAGAACCATTGGACATCTGGAGAGGAAAGGAAGTGAATCCAGTTATCACCCACCTCCCTCTAAAAAGTAGCAGCGTGTGTGACCCAGTGTTCCTCGTGCCCGTTGGGAACGTAACCCCAGTGCTCTCAGCAGCCTCGCTCCCCGCGGGTGCCTATGGCCCACCGCTCCTGAGGACACAACCGCCGCGTCCGGCACTGTTTTGGCCACTGGCAGGCGGGATATTAAACGAAGGCAGGGCCGGTGTCCCGCACGTCTCTCTCCGGCCCCGCGTCCCGAAATCCATGGTCGATCTTCTGCACCCCTGGGAAGCGCGGCCTGAGACGCCTGGCTCACTCACCGCCTCCGCGGCGTGGTTCCGCGTCTCCTCCTCTTTCTCGCCTCGGGCGTCCACCCAGGGTCTCCAGAAGCCTGCGGAGCTGCGGGATGGGGAGCACAAGGCGCGCAGAGGAGACGTCAGCCCAGACCCGGGAGAAGCCTCGGAGGCCGAACACTGGCACCGGGGGGTGGGGAATGGCGAGTGGAGGGGAGGAGCTGGAGAGGCGCAGGCGGGAGGGATTGGGGAATCGGGGAAGCGCAGAGCAGTGCGGAGGAGCCTACCCGGAGTCCGCGTCCCCGCGCCGCGCCGGGCCGTCGGGGGCTGCGCGCGCCGCAGCTGTGCTCTCAGCGTTCTCTGCGCTCCCAGCGGTCTCCATGGCGCCGCGGAGCTGGGCGGAAGGCCGCTGCCTGCTCGCGGGCAATCTTGGCCGGCTCCAGTAGATCCAAGACCCGAGCTTTATATAGTCCTTGCAACCTGCCGCACGTTGAGAGGTTCGCTCCCTCTCCGCCCCTATCTCCAGTCAGCCGCATAAACAAAAAGGCTGCGCGTGAAGGCGCACCGGGCTGAGCCCAGGGTGTGAACGCGTGCAACTCCCAAATGGCCCGGGACGGGATTTTGTTCAGCGAATGTTAATCGCCCTTTGACACATAGCTGCGGTGAAAAACAACATTCGCCTGAGCATCCAATTTCCTTGTGAAGAGGCCAGGAGGAGATGAAATTAAGCGAGTCTACACGTTTTGTGTATTTCTTAAAAAAAGCCAAGTGACTTGGTTAATTGCTTGATTCGCTGGAGACTCAGGACTTGGCCTGTGGCCAATCAACTGGTTCTGCATCTCGTGTTCTAGAAGCTGGGATGCAGACTCGAGTTCAAAGGAATGGTCTTAATTCCTCTTCCTGGAACAGTTTTTAAAAAAAATGGGTGAATGGATGGACTCCTTAAGAATGTCGGGGTTTTTTTGTTTTGTTTTGTTTTTATGTATTGATAGACTAGGTTCATATGCCAACCTGTTATTATTTGAAGATAAGAATCACTGTTCTAAGAGAGCCAGAGACTGCACTCATGTGATTTGGGCCTATGGCTCTAAATTATCTTCTTGTCTTCTGTGTTTTTTCCAACATTTATCACTATCCTTTTGCAATAACTTTTGAGTTCATCTCTGAACTCAAAAGCACTGAAATGTACTTTTGAGTACATTTCTGTCACTACTTGGTATTTTGTCACTCAATGATAATTAGAAAATTCCTTTTTGGGGGCAGGTGTTGTGGAATGATAATGAAATCTTGGAAAGTTATGATATAAATTAATCAAATGTCTGCATCCCTGTTTCTCTGATTTGAGTTACAGTGAGGGCACTTAACTACCACTAAACTTTGTAAAAAGTGTTATGCATCAAAGGAAAGATGATATGTAAATGTTGTATTTTTTTTCAAAATGATTTAAATAAGCTGAACTTTCTCTTTAAAGTTTAGACAACCTTGATTGTAAGCTATAGTTGTCTCTGCTATTCATTCAGCTACTGCATAGAAAAATAATTTAATTATTAATGGTAGCTAAGAGCCTGTAATGATCTACCTGCCAGGAAGGTAAGATTTGGGTTGCTTCTGAAGAGAAAATCAGTAAGGACAGATACCCAATGCATATCTCCATCTCTTACATGATACCTAATGCATGTCTCCATCCCTTACACTTATTGTTAGGCCAAATAAAATAAAGCTTATGGAATGCTTTTTGCAATGTCTGACATAAGTAAGCCTTCAACAGATTTTAAGCTATATAAAAAATATAAGCCCTTAGGAGGTGCTAAGCTTTCTGATAAAATGGCTTATTATTTCTGTTCCATAATGTAAATTAGTTCAATCATTGTGGAAGACAGTGTGGTGAGTCCTCAAAGATCTAGAACCAGAAATAAGATTTGACCTAGCAATCTGGGTATATACCCAAAGGAATATAAATCATTATTTTACAAAGATGCATGCATGATATTTGTATGTTTATGTTCATTGCAGCACTATTTGCAATAACAAAAACATGGAATCAACCCAAATGCCCATCAGTAATAGACTGGATAAAGAAAATTTGGTACATACACAGCATGAAATACTATGCAGCCATAAAAAGGAACAAGATCATGCCTTTTTCAAGGACATGGATGGAGCTGGAAGCTGTTATCCTCAGCAAACTAATGCAGGAACAGAAACGCAACCACTGCATGGTCTCACGTATAAGTGGGAGCTGAATAATGAGAACACCTGGACACACAGAGGGGAACAACACACACTGGGCCTGTCAGGGGTGGGATGGGAGGAGGGAGAGGATTAGGACAAACAGCTAATGATTGCTGGGCTTAATACCTAGGTGATGGGTTGATAGGTGCAGCAAACCACCATGACATATGTTTACCTATTTAACAAACCTGCGCATCTTGCACATGTACCGCAGAACTTAAAATGAAAATAAAAAATAAATCTTTCTGAGGTGGCTGCAATGTTCTAAGTACTGTGCTTTCCAGATAAGGACAGTAAGATACTCCTCCTTTCCTTGAGAAGATTAGAATTATTACAAACTATGGCCACTACAATAACCACATAAGAAAAAAAAATTAAAGTGACACATTCAATAGAAAAAGCACATTTTAGGCAGATAGGAGGGAGGGACTTAAGAAGTCTGTTTGGGATAATCAGGAAAGCCTTCTTAGAGTAAATAAAATCTAAGTTGAGATTTCTAGAAAGATTACTCAAAGAATAGTATTGTCTGGGTGGTGCAGGAGTAGGAGGAAAAGGAACTGGGTATCACTGGAGCAGAGATGCTGAAGGGTTAGAAAGGGTTTGAACTATCAAGAGCCTAAAATGCTATACTAAGTCATTTTGACTTTATTCTGTAAGCACTGGTAAAAGATTTTAAGCAGGAAAGTGGAATGGCATTTTATAAAAATCATTCTGGCAGCCATATGGAAAATGGATTTAGGAAAGGCTAGAGATAGGAAGTCCATTTAAAAGGCTACTGTAAGAGTCTAGGCAAGAGATAGTCAGAAGATGTACACTAAGAATGGAGATGAAGGGATAGAGTTGAAGGTTACCTAGGAAATAGAATCTGTAGAACTACTTGAGTCATAAAATCTAGGTGGACATGAAAGTGGAGTCTGGAGATAGTCCCAGGTTTCTAGCCTGGTTAAGTGAGTAAATGGTGATGGCTCAAACACAGACGTAGAAAACAGGGAGCGTAGGATAAAGAGCAGGTGAGATCCTCTTATGTTGTTTTATTCTGTTAATGGTGTGCAGGAATAAAAATAATGAGCTTGGTTTGGAATCTTAAATCAGTCAGGATGGGCTGGGTTACATGGTGGTAACAAATAACTCCAAAATCTGACAGGCTCAAAATAGCAAAGGCTTATTTTTCACTCATGCTTTATATCCATTTTTGGTTGGTGGGAGGTCTATTCTACATCATCTCTCTTAAGGATGTAAGCTGATGGAGCCTCTTCCCTTGGAATGTTGGCAGTTTTCATAACAGGGAGAAAAGAATAAAATCATTTGTGTACCAGGTTTTAGAGGTTTCTGCCTAGAAGGGACACACATTTCACTGGCTAAGACAAGTCACACAACACACCAATTTCAAAAAGCAAAGAAGTGCAATTCTACTATGTGTTTAGAAAGAGGAGAAACAGAAATAAACAACATATAGGAGTGCCATCATCTGCCCTTCTGGCAACTGAATATTCAGTTCATCTTCCTTCCTATATGTAAAATACAGTCACCTCAGGAAAAGAACTCAGAATGGATCTAGGATTTTGGAAGGCTCAGTAACATGTAGGTGGAAAGATATTCGGGGGACAACCAGAGATATGAGGTCTGCAGTTTAGTAGAGAATTCAGGGCTAAAGATTTAAATGTGAGAGTCATCAGCAAAGAAATGGCAATTAAAACAATAGGAATTGATTGGTTTTCCCAGGTAAATTTTGTAGCTTGAGTCCAGGACCAAGGACAGTAGCCTAGAGATCAACGTTTGATTGTAAGGTGAGAGGGTATACAAAACAAAACAAAACAAAAAACCATCTCACTGAAAAGGAGTGGTGAATCTGGTAGAAAGTGGATCAGTGGGCCAGGCACAGTGTCTCACTCCGGTAATCCTAGCACTTTAGGACAGCAAGGTGGGAGGATCACTTGAGCTCACGAGTTCAAGACCAGACTGGGAAACATAATGAGAGCTCATCTCTACAAAACAAAATTAAAAAAATTAGCCTGGCATGGTGGTGCATTCATGTAATCCAAGCTACTCAGGGAGCTGAAGCCAGAGGATCACTTGAGCCTAGGAAGTCGAGGCAGTGAGCTATGATCATGCCACTGCACTCCGGCCTGGGTGACAAAGCTAGACTGTGAGGAAGGAAGGAGGGAAGGAAGGAAGGAAGCCAGGAGGGAAGGAGGGAGGGAGGGAAAGAGAAAGTGTTTCAGTAAAGTAGGTGTGGTGGAAACATGGGATGAAAGAACTCTTCAATAAAGCAGGAGAGGTCCAACACAGTCAGGGCTACCAAGAGGTCACATAAGATAAGGACAAGTATTAATTGGATTTGGCAACATAGCCCCTTATAAGGAGTTATAAGTGACTTTAGAACAATATCATTTGACTGTATAGGGACAGAAGCTTTTTTTTACAACAAGTTGAGTGATAGATTAGAGGCGAATAAATCAAAACAATGTGTTGAGCTACTCTTTTGAGAGGAAAAATAGAGGGAGAATGCTGGGTCCATAGAAGAGTCTTGTTTTTAGGGTGCAAAAACAAAAGTATATTTATAAAAGGAGAGGAAGCAGAAGAAGAGATCCTTCTAGAGAGGCGGGAGCTAGATGATGGTTCATGGTCCCCAAGGAGGAAGGAAATGAGATCAGTAGCCCTGAAGAGAATCCTCATAAGACTGGAGCATGTAAATCAGTGATGATTATGTCTGGGAACTCCCAGGAAACAAGCTTAATCAAGGTGACTAGCTTGGCTTGGAGAAGGAAGGGTCTGCTGTAATGATGAGACACGAAACTGAGTGAATATCAGTTGTTTTGAAACTGTAGAAAAAAAAAAAAAAATGCATTACTGGAAAAAAAGGAGAACCAATTAATAAAAATGTGGCAAGAATTTTACTTGACCAAATTTAAGTAAACTGAGAAATATAAATTACTAGGAAGATCCTAAACCTACCATTTATACTTTAGTTTCATGTATACTACCTTTTTTTTTTTTTTTGAAATGGAGTCTTACTGTGTTGCCCAGGCTGGAGTGCAATGGCATGATCTCTGCTCACTGCAACCTCTACCCCTGTCACCACGCCTGGCTAATTTTTGTATTTTTAGTAGAGACTGGGTTTCACCATCTTGGCCAGGCTGGCGTTGAGCTCCTGACCTCATGATC